TAAATAGAAACATTTCAGGCTACTAAGGAAATTACCATTTTTTAAATAATCAATGAACTTGTTGACACTGTTAATTAAAGCTGCAGTTGCAGTGTTTCTACCACAGAGTTGAAGCACATGATTTATTTTGCTCGTGGAAAATGAAAATGCAAGGGAAGTAGGAAACTCCCTCAAGCACATTCCCTTAATCTATCAAAAACTTGGACTCAAATAATTGTGTAATTGTCATATCCAGGAAAGTATAAGCTAAAATGTACTATCATACTTCTTGCAATTTGCTGAATAATGGTCTCTAAAGATATCCATGTCCTAATCTCTGGAACCTATGAATGTTACATGCTGTGGTAAAAGAGATTTAGCCAATGTAACTTCGGATCTTGAGAGGTTATCCTAGATTGTATGGTTGGTTCCTAAATAGAATCACAAGTGTCCTTATTAGGAGGCAGAGGGAAATTTGACTGGAGACCGAAGAAAGAAGGTGACATGATGGCTGCAACCAAAAAATGGCCGGGCGTTGTGGCGGGCGCCTGTGGTCCCAGCTACTTGGGAGGCTGAGGCAGGAGACTCACTTGAGCCTAGGAGTTGGAGGTTGCTGTGAGCATGATGCCATGGCACTCTACCCAGGGGGATAGCTTGAGGCTCCGTCAAAAAAAAAAAAAAAGAAAAGAAAAGAAAAACAGAAGTGAGGTACAGAAACTGCTAGATTGATTACAGCTTGATGCGTGTCTTATTTAAACATTCTTCAAACCTTTGATGGACCAAAATGGTGATTGGTATAAGAGAAGTTACAGTCTGTTCACACATCTAATTAGGTTACAGTTCATTATGTATGGAGAAACCTTTAGGCTGAACTTAAAATATGTAGAGGCAGCTTTGGGCTAAACTTAATTTAATAGCATGCGTGTAAAATGTCAAGTGTAACCTGTAAAAGAACAGAAATGCAGTGACTAACATCTCAATCAGAAGAAAAAAACAAATACAGTAAGAAAACAAAAGACAATGATATTATGCAATAAAAAGCTCATTAAAAAGCAGGGAAAAAAGACATATTAAAAATGTGAAAACAAATCCAGATATTTTAGAAATGATAATACAGTAGAACCTCCATAGTTGACCACCTCCCTATATTGACCACCTCCTTAAGTTGACCTAATTTTCATAGATCAGATATGTACCACATGTAGGTATCAGTACAATAGTTCCTTATGTTGACCAGTTTGCTACAGTCCCTTGGGTGGTCAATGTACAGAGGTCCTTCTGTTAATTTAAAAAAAGTAAATTGCAGCTAAGCAGAGTGGCTCACACCTGTAATGCCAGCAATTTGGGAGGCAAGAGCGAGCTATGATTATACCACTTCACTCTAGCCAGAGTGACAGAGGGAGACCCTGTCTCTAAAAATCAAAAAAAGAAAAAACCCAAACAGAAAAGATAACTCGCTAAATAGCCAGTTAAAAGGCAGAGATTGTGTTAGCTTGGGAAAAAAAGGAATCATATATAATGACTACATTTCATGTAATATTTCATTTTTAGATCACTAGAATAAATAGGACATAGGTATTCAAAATGTATTTCTTAAAAGGCGTTTATACAAAAAGATGATCTATTTATAAGTCATGCCTTATAAATGAATGACAAATATCAAGGTAGGTATCTCCTAACATACAAACATCTTAAAGTTTGAGTTTTCTTTGTGTGTTAAGGAATGTTACTAAGTTCCAAGATGACACTAATTCTTACAGGTACGTGGACATCTACCAAATGTCTGCTTAATCAGCTTTCTTTTTGAAGAGTCCAAATCATCACCCACATTTGAAGAAAAAAATCTAGTGATATTTATGTGAAACTTAAACATGTGACATTGTGTATTATTCTCCTTTGGGTATTTTCCAGATACGATTATATACACATGGTTTTGCTAAGATAACTCAATAATTTGTAAAGACGCTGAGCATTAAAATGTTCCTTATTTGTGATTACCCATTGTACTTTAAAATTGTTCTTGCTAATTTTTCATTTTTGATGATCCAAGTGAAAAGTATTTGCCAACACCCACGGTATCAAATCTAAGATTTTAAAGGCAGCCTCCGAAGGGAACAAAATGGAACAAAATCTAGAGGAGAATCTACAAGTTAAGGTTCTGTATAATTGTTGGGTAGATGCAAAACGGATCAAAGGATAAAACTGGTGCCCTCCTCCACCCCTCCAAAGAAACTACATTATTAATTTGAGACTTCATAGTGGGTAAACTGATCGTTTATACTAGTTGCATTAAATATTATTTGTTCATATCCTACCGGTACCTCATTCCACAAAAGATTTGAGTATATTTATAAGATATAATTTCCTCTAAATTGAACAAAAAACAAATAAAACTCAGAATCATGAAAAATACATATATAAAGAGTAGGAATATAAACCTAGGTTTGAGGTTCCTAAACTTTGTAGTGCCTTAGGATCACAGAGGGAGCTTTTCCAACTCCTAATGCCCTTGTGGTGCTCCATATTAATTAAATCAGAGTGTCTGGGGGTGAGAGGCAGAGAGCAATAGTGTTAAAGATCCCCAGGTGTTTTTACATGTAGCAAACTTTGGGAACCACTGATCTAGACTGATGTTCTCAGCTTTACTTGTGTATTAGAATCTCCTGTTGTGCTGTTCCAGCTAGTGATGTCTGAATCAGAGAAATTGCAGTCTGCTCTGGGGCTAACTGGGCACTTAGTTGGTGTTAAGCTGCCCAGGTGATTCTAATGTGTGTCCAGGGCAGAAAACCACAGCCTTGAGGGAAAGTTGATAGTTGATACATAGTTACAAAAAAGATTGCTTTTTTTTTTTTTAATGCGTCTTTTATGGCTTAAGGTCATAACACTGGTTTTGAGTTTTCTGGTGGCAAAAGCAGATAGAAAACCACAATCAGCCGAAACAATTTTTGTCAGCCACAATGCAAAAGCTTATCAGCTTCTTGAAAGAAAGCAAGTTTTCCCTCACAAGTCTGAAATAAATGTCTTGTTTGAGCCTTCCTACAGGACGTTGAATGAGGTCATGGATCACAATTTTCTAAACATCTTACAATAAATGACATATAGCAGGTTTTGTATTGTAGTTTGTAGTAACTACGACAATCCCCCAGGAAAAGCCAAAGACATGACCCCAGAGTTGAGGGGTACAGGCTGTTGTGGCAGGTGTGTAGGAACAGGTGATACGGGACAGGAAAAGGCACTGCTAGCTACAGCCCTCTACAGGTTCCTCATGATACAGCCTCCCCTAAAGGCTAAATCTGGAACTGTGCACTTCCTGGGCGTGGAAGGGGTGTCCTGAGTAATCAAACACTATAATTTTCTACTGGAAAAATTTAAGAATCAATTACTTAAAGAAATAATGACTGTGCAGATTGGACAAAGGCTTGGTTAGTGAGGGTGCAGAAGCACTGACTCCCCAACATAGGAGTGACCTGCAGGTGATGGGCATCTTAGAATTTTTGTGCACCTGTATATGTGCTTGTACCTTTTGTTTTTTCAACAGAAAAAGACTTTAGGTTCGAAAAGCCTGAAAAACCTTAGTGTGGAAGGAATGAACAGAGAGCTATCTGATTTTTAAATACTCCATAAAGGTTATTTTATTCTTGGGATTTTGTGGCATGTAAGTACTGCAGACTTAATGGTGCAGGGTTTTTTTGGAGAAGGCTCTGAGTAGGGTGTTGACTCCATAAGGCTAAGTCTTGAAAGGAAACCCATTATACGGTACACGTATTAAGCCAGGCAGGCAAAGGAGAGCTTAAGTTATGATGGGTGTGCCCCTCTTTTCTTTTGAACATGAACTAGCAGGGCCAACAGAAGATATTTAGTAATGGAGCAGAGGGCTGGCAGAAACCGATTTTTTTGGTCATGTTAGTGTTCTCCCTTCACTTTCTTGAATGAAAAGCCTAAATGTGCCCAGGTATTACCCAAATGGGCACTTTGATGTTTTCTTTTCAAAGGCAAATGAATGTTCTGCGTATGTTTTCTTTTTAAATTCACAAATGCACTTAACATGTAAATTTAAGTCTTCCTGAAAAAGTCGAGTGACGAATTTCTTTCACTTATTTAAAGAAGTCTCTTGTATTCCTATAAATCGGAAGGATTAAATGAACTGCTTGCTAGAAAAACAGTAGCTGGGACGTGGGAGGAATCCTACAGTGGCTAATAAGACGTCTCAATCGTTTGCATATGCAAAGGATAACCTTAAACTTGCGTTTGATATTTCACGTTGCGACTCAAAAATGAGTTGCCTTTTATTCAAAGAACCACGTTGTCTGTTTTCCAGTGGGTGGGTGTGTACTCAGGGCGGTCGCTGTGTTGGTTTTGTTCCCGGTAAGGTTGACACAAGCAATGGCGACGCGCGGCCACACCGGGGCAGCCTCTCCCCGGCTGGCGGCCCGGCCAGGCGGGTCGCTCTGGGGAGCTTACAATGTAGCCGAGTCTGGCTCGTTGCGGCTGCCAAGAATTTAAAGGGGTCTAGAAACATCCATCTTTGCCCCCTTTTAACAATCAACAGTGAACTCGGGACTCTTGGTTAAAAGAGCACAGGGAAGAAAAAACAGGCAGGCTGTTTTGTTGTTTGGAAAATGCCTTCATCGCCCCCAAACGTCCAGCCGCCCCCTCCCCAGAACAGAGGGAAACCGGGAGAGGAGGGAGGGTCAGCCGCGCAGGCCAAGACCGCCCGGGCACGCCTCTGTGGACCCGCCCCGCGGCCGGGTGACCCACGGAGCGGGGCGCTGGAGGCCGAGGGTGGGGTGGGCGCGGGGGCTGTGGGGGAGCCACCCATGCTGCCCGCGGCCCGCCCCCCAGCCCGGCCTGTGATTGGCTTGGGGGGCGCGTGCGCCCGCCCCGGCGAGCGGGGAGGGTCCCGGAGCAGCGCGGGGTGGGAGGAGGCGGAGGAGGGGCGGAGAGAGCGGGGGCCTGGACGGAGCGAGCGAGGGGGCGGGCTAGCCGGGTCCCGGGGATCGCATAGCTAGCCCGAAGAGGGGCGGAGAACGGCGCGCCGGCGCGGAGGGAGGTGCGGGCCGTGGTGAGGGACAGCCCGGCGGGCTCCGCCGCTGCTGCCGCCGCCCGCTGCTCGGCGCGCTCTCGGGAGCCGCCAGCCCTCGGGTCCCGCAGCCTTCCGGGAGGAAGCGGCGTAGGCAGCGGCCGGGGCGCGCGCTCGGCACCCTCCCCTGCCGGCGTCCGAACGCTTCCCCGGCGGGGCGCGCGCAGGGCCGGGCGCAGGACCGGCGGGACCTGGAGGCAGAGTGAAGCTCCGGCCGCCCGCCGCTGCACAGCCACCGGCAGCGCTTCGGCCCCCGAGCGGGGCGCCGACTCCATGGCGACCGGGCTCGGGGAGCCGGTCTACGGACTTTCGGAAGACGAGGTGAGTGCGGCTCCTTCTCTCCCGGACTCCCCGGGGAGTTCCTGCCCCGGGCCGGCAGGGGGAGGGGAATGGGGCCACCCCGGGGTGTTTGTTCCCCCGCGCCTGTAGGGGAGCCCCAAACACGGGAGTGCCCCAGAGCGGAGTCGGGGGGGCCTAGAGTGTTCCTCGGTCCTCATCCGAGCGCATTGTTTGTAAATGCAGAGGCGCCACGCTCTGGGAGCAGGGGGTTCTTTCCCCCGCTCCCTGATTTCGGGGAGGGAGCGTGGCACGCGCGCCTCTCTGTCCCCTCCTCTTCAAGCCAGGTCTCCCGGGGCTGTTGGGCAACTTTGCACCGCTCGTCCCTGAAGCCTGGGAATCCATGCTGGTTGTCACGTCTGGGTTACGGCTGGAGACCCTTGCGGCGCGGGGGAGTCGGCGTTGCAGACGAGCCTGATCGTCTCCCCATGGAACTTTCTAATGCTTGTGTGCAATCTGCAGGCGCTCTGAAGCGTGTGCGTGCTTATCCCGGTGGGAGTGGGGGGCACGCCGAGAGGCGCGTGTGTCCATCCCCTTGTTTTGCAAAATCTAAAGCTGGGATTGTGGATTTCGGAGTCTTGGCGTGTGTAGAGGGGGTGGTCCGAGGTGGTGGCAGGTGCTACTGGAAACTTGCGAAGGAAGCCTGCCATTTTTTTTTTCCTCCCAAAGATTCAAAGCCCGGCACCTCCGGGGTGGGTGGAGAGCGGAAAGCTCAATTGATCCTTTTTATTAATAAAGCGAATGAATAAGCCACGCCCCCAAGCGGTCGTTTTGTCTGCGGAGCGCTTTGTTTTTAACCTCATTCTTTCCTCCCGGTTACCCACTCCCCTCTTTGAAACAATCCTGCTAAATCACTGCTTAGCCCTCTCTCGACCAGCCTCGCTCGGCTCTTATTGGTGTGTTGCACTGCCAAAAAGGGGGGTGGGACGCCTGTCGCGGGCGCGGCGTGACAGGCAGGCTGGATGGAGCAGGCAGGTAGGAGTGGTTTGCCATCTGGCGGGGTGCGCGCTCAGGTCTGGCTCCCCTTTCGAGAGGTGAATTTACAACCCTTGAAGCATTACTCAGCAGGGAGGTATTTCCTATCCTGGTTGTGCATTTCATGAAAAGTTGATGCCTGGAAATTCAGGCTTTCTCGATTTATCTTTCTTCTCTCTTCTTTCTTTTTCTGAGGTCCCCTTTTTGATGATGGGGGTGGGGTTGAAAGAGAGATTCTATTATCTGAGACAGGCTCACGTTACGGCGTCGCTCTCAGCGGCTTTCCTACCCAGTGTGTGTGTGTGTGTGTGTGTGCGCGCGTGCATGTGTGCTACGTAAGTGTGGAATGAAATAGGTATCTTGGGGTGGGGCGGGTGTTTGGGGCATGACTTTTTTATTGAGGGTGCTAGGCCAAGCTCGATGTGATATTTTATCAAAGAATGATCACAATGCAAATATTGTCTGATTTATGTTTTTGATTATTTTGCCACACTGTGCTTGGTGTGAAGTAATTTCTCCCTTTGTGTAGCTACCTGGGGATGGGTGAAAAGTAGCATTGTTTCATTTCCCGGGGGATTCTGTTCTCCCTCTTGGTTTCTCTCTTTTTTCCGGTGCTTTGCCTTGCATCCTCCTTTTCTCTATTTAATTAAGGGCATAGAAGGCGGCGGTGAGCTCTTAGGGGTGTGGGTATAGGGACATTCCTGAACAAAGGGGTTGCTTGGGTTGGGGCATTGTAGGGGATAAAGACAGCTGCCAGTCATCTTAGGTTCTTTTTTTTAATGTTTTAATACAATTGTTATTTTTAAAAGCTCCTTGAAAAAAAATAATTGAAGAATGTTTTGAGAAATGCAGCTGGATAAATGAATCACATTCATGTCACTGTTGATTGTGCTTTGTTTACATTGGCAGTGTCAGAATCTACCTAGAGTGAGTCTTCCCACATTTGTTTGACGACTTAATCCTGATCACCTTAACTGGTGTCTAGTGTGAAAGGGCAGGGTGGAATATAAACAGAATCCGAGTGTGTCGTGTGGAGGGTATGTGACTGGGTTCAGTCCTGCATGCTGCTGGAAGAGAATTGGGGACCCCATGGGGAATAGCAATCGGTGATGAATTCCCCGTTTATTACTTATTCATTGCCATACTGCTGTTACTTTGTAGTTGCACACATTATTATTGCACAAGACAAGTCTCTTCTTTACTGTTTAACTTTCTCCTGCCAGTGAAAAAATAAGCCAGAGCAATTCTGATGACTTCACATTTCAATGGTATTTGCTTTTTATGGGTGGGTTCACACTGTGAGGTTGCTCATCAGAGAATTAGGGAATGCCTTCGTAGAATATTAACATACTGTTGCATTTGCAGGGCCTGTTTTGTCTCCTTGAATTCGTCTGTGTAAGAAAACTGAGATTTTAACAGACTCTGAAAGTAGAATGCTTGCCGCAACAAACAGGAGGGTTGCTTTTCCAAGGCCGGTTAAATACGGGTGCACATCAGTTTACAGGCTTGGTGTGCTGCAGAATATCACACGTGAAGATGCTTGGATTGCTATTTACAGCAGTCACCTTTAAAAACTCTTAGCAAAGTAGGCACCATAGCTAGCATATTTCTTAAAAGTAAATTTCTCTTTTTATTTGAGGTTGATGAGAAGGGTAATATGGTTGGAGTACACTTTGCTGTGTCCCATCAGCGCTCTGTGCCGGTAATGATGATGAATTGCATAACCTAGAGAATAGTGAGTTGCCAAAGCACGGGGCACCACTGTTCCTTGGATGTTCAGCCTAGGTCTGTCCAGTTTGTAGAATAACAAGGGTTGAGATGTGAGCTTTGTGTGTGTGTGGGGGTATGTGCTGTTTAATTTTTGCTGTGTCTTTCGGGTTGAGGTTCCTCTGATGAGATATAATTCATCTCTAACCTCATTTAAATCATGTCATTGTAGGTAACCAAATTTGAAATTACCTTCAGATGAAGACCTTTTGATGTTGAAGGGATTTGCAGTTTTAAAAAAAACTTCTGATTCATGGCCCAGGGTCGGATTTGGTTTGGAATCAGGATAGTTTGGATTAGTTTCTGCAACTGGCTTGAGTCCTTAGTGGTTTTCTTTTTGTTTTTGTTTATTTATTTTTGGCAGTCCGCAGCACATTTTGTCATTTTTTACTTGTGAATGTTACTTTTAACTTTCCAAAAATCTTTTTTTTTTTTACCTTGTAGAAAGGCTTCTTTTATTGAAAGGACTCTCACCAATACTAGGTGAGTGAAATACTAGGGTTTGAATGCAGCCTTCTTATACTATCAGACATGACATTTAAAATTTTGTTGGTTAAAGGGAGGCGCAGGAAATAGAAATGAAGGCCGGGTGGACATGGGATTATACTTTTGATACCTTCTCTCCTAATTCCATACAAACAAGAATAGCTGGCCAGTGTTTCAAATTCCACCATCTAAGCTGTGTTATCTCATTTAATCTTCATAAGAACTCTGAGGTATGCTGCAATTTACAGATAAGTCTGTTGAATCCAAAGCCTTACTTTTTAACCGAATAATTTTTCCCTTTCTTACAGGTTTGTTAACAGCTAGATTATTCAAGACAATGTGAGACAGAGGCACACATCATGAGTTGCAAATTGATGGCTTGTGAACAGCCAGTTATGTCCAGAAGCCCTGCTTAATGTAGTTTCCAGAGTGTTTTAAAGCTTGGAAAATCGTTAAAACTTGGCCTCCTTGGGCTGACACACCCTAACCTAGCCACCATCCGTGGCTTTATATTATGGTCTTCGAGATGAGGCAGTTGTGCTGGAGTGTCCAGTCATCACTGCCCCTCATTTGTGTGCAATTATCCACTTCATAATAAAGATGTAAGGTTAACCTTTGGTATGGATATCATATTTCTTTCTCTTTTTAAGAGATGGTCAGTTTTAGATGAACTATTATTTTACGTAACGTTAAGAAAGGAAGAAAACAGTGGCTGTCAAATTATGATATACTGTCAATTTTGTGAACCATCCTTATTTCAGAGATGTTGAAATAGGAAAACAAGAATGTTTTATAATTTATGTAGTTAGTGATTAGCAGCCTCACACACGGTGTGGCTCACACCTGTCATTGTAATACTTTAGGAGGCCAAGGAAGGAGAACTGCTTGGAGATCAACCTGAGAAAGAGAGACCCCATCTCTACAAAAAAATAGAAAGATTAGCTGGGCTCGATGGTGTGCATCTGTAGTCCCAGCTACTTGGGAGGCTAAAAAAGGAGGATCGCTTGAGCCCAGGAATTGGAGGTTGCAGTGAGCTATGATGATGGCACTACACTACAGCTTTGCTGACAACCAAAATTGATAGCTGCAGGCCATCAATTCTGATACACCCAGTCATTCCACAATTTTTTTTTTTGAGTCTCACTATGTTGCTCTCTGCAGAGTGCTGTGGTGTCACAGCTCAGAGCAGCCTCAAACTCTTGGGCTTAAGCAATTTTTTTGCCTTAGCCTCTCAGAGTAGCTGGGACTACAGGCGCCCGCCACAACACCCGGCTACACTCCACACTTTTAAGTCAGCTAGTAGTAAGATTTCTGCTTTTCCATGTCTGAGAAAAGGGCCAGCATAAGGGAATTGCTCATAAATGGGCATTACCAAAAAGGAAGCTGGTAGCCTAGATGATAATGTCTCCTGAATGGCCATCTGTAAGTGATTAAGAATAGGGGTTGGCTTGGCGCCTGTAGCTCAGTGAGTAGGGCGCCAGCCACATACAGTAAAGCTGGCGGGTTCAAGCCTGGCCTGGACCTGCTAAACGACAATGACAACTGTAACCAAATAATAGCTGGGCATTGTGGTGGGTGCCTGTAGTCCCAGCTACTCGGGAGGTTGAGGCAAGAGAATCGCTTGGGCCTAAGAGTTTAAGGTTGCTGTGACGCCAGAGCACTCTACTGAGGTGACATAGTGAGACTGTGTCTCAAAAAAGAAAAAAAGTTGTTAACTTAAAAAAAAAATTGGCACATGTTTGTTTCCAAGCAATTAC